GTGGGGGTCAGCATTGGGATTGAGCGGATCTTCTCCATCCTTGAGCAGAGACTGGAGGTGAGTGCATTGGTACTCAGCTAAGGCACAGGTTTTGCATTCTCCCCATGCATTTATTCAGTCCAGCAAATGCTGAAGTGGGTCTTTGATAGAGAACTTATCCAGGCCTTGCTGTGTTCTGCACCAAGAGGTCAAAACAATTTCAGTCTCCTGTTTTCTCTGGCTTCAGATGTGATCCCTTTTCTGCAGTCCCCACTACAGCTCCAGCTGGAGGCAGCACTGTGATTTCCGGCTGTATGAGGTGCCTTGGTCAGGTGCCCCAGTGTTCCCCCTGCACTGGGCATCCCTGTGACAACACTGCTTTCATGGCCAGCCAGTGCTGCTCTGCAAGGTTCATGGGCAGTCTTGCACATGTGCCCATCCTGCTGAGAGCACTACAAAGACCTGATAGGGGCTGGGTGTCCCATAGCAGGGAGTACAGCCTTTGTCAGGGTTTGAGGTATGATTTTCCTCTTCCCTGCTCCTCAGAGCTGTTCTACCAATTTATTCTCAGTCCCATTCAGTGGATGCTAAAGAGGTCTTGGTTGGGATTCCGAAACACTGCCATGCATTTCCCTCCCCCAGAGTCCTGTTGTGGGGAGAGCTCTTGGCATCCCGACCCAACTGAGACCGGCAGAGCTGGGACATCTCAGCTTGCTGTTGTTAGCCTAACCCACAGTTACTAGCCCAGCTGTAGAACATGCAGCTGCTCTGTGCAGCTCCCACAGGGCCTGCTGCTCTCAGCCACTCTGAGCAGATCTCCCAGAGGCTGCAGGCCCTTGGGTCTGGAGGGACAATCTAGGCAGAATTTGGCCGTGAAATCAGTCATTCTCAGCGTGTTCTCCAGCCTGTGCACACCTGCAAGCACAGAAAGGAGGCGAGGATAAACACCAGAATGTGGAACAGTCACAGATACTGAGATTCTAGGATGGGTCTCTGGGCACTGCCCAAAGTGCGTGCTGTTCTTTGAGCCTTGGATATGTCTGTGTGTCTGTAGAATCTTTTGAGTCTTGTCCACTTTCTAGGCCTCGGAAGAGAAGATCAGGACAACAGAGACACAAGTGCTCGTGGCCTCTGCCCAAAAGAAGCTCCTGGAAGAGCGGCTGAAGCTCATCTCTGAGCTGTGGGATGCTGGAATCAAGGTATAATCAATATAATATAATCAAGGTCAAGTCAGGAGCTGCCTGATCCGCTCTCTTATTTCTTATGCCCAGAAATGGACCACATCTGGCTTTGCTCTGGGAGGAAGGACTCACAGGGAGAGGGTGGGCAGCAGACACCTTTCTGAATGGAGCTTGCCTCTTCGTGTCCTAGATGAGATGTTTTCCAGGGGGTGCTGGGTGATATGACTTGCTTGGCCCTATACTGCTGCAGAAGCTGTTGTGGCTTTGCTCAGGATGGACTGTCAAAGCAGGGCAGCACTTCAGCCTCTGCTGAATGGCAGCTGTGATGTCATATGCCACTTCCACCAGAAAACAGGATGGTGCAGAGACTTGCAAGGAGGGGAGGAGCCTGGGCTGTGTTTTCCATTGTCTAAAAGCCACCTGTCTGTGCACTGCTCCTGCTGCAGGCAATCTGCCATGAGACCCAGCAGAGAAGGGATGCTCCATAGAGCTTCTGAGCCTCAGGAACACCACGGGTGTCAGTCCTGGTCTGACACACACTAGAGCTGACCACCTGGTGCTTTCCCAGGAGCAGCAGTGTCTTCCAAGTTCCTCTGAGCTGTTCTGCATTACTTTTTAGCTGCATTGCCCTGCCTTTTGATGTCAGCCAGTCTGTACATACCTCCCATTCACAGGCTAGCAATTGGACTGGCCTGGGAATGCTGGTGGGACGATGGGGCACAGAGCAGCAGGCCAGTGCTGAGAGCAGCCTTGTGCTCTGGTTCCCTTCCAGGCAGAAGTACTGTACAAGAAGAACCCCAAGCTCCTGAATCAGCTGCAGTACTGTGAGGACACGGGCATCCCCCTTGTGGCCATTGTGGGAGAGCAGGAGCTCAAGGATGGAGTTGTCAAGCTGCGGGTGGTGGCAACCAGGGAGGAGGTGAGGCTCTGGTGACGCAGAGGGGGTGAGGGCTGCCCCACCTTCCATCCCAGCTCAGATCTGCCTTCCATGCCCTGTTCAGCCATAGGATCAGATTCTGTAGAGCTCTGGGAACCGGTGCAGGCCCATACTTGGAGTTTGGTGCCCAGAGCTCAAGGGCCTGCAGTGAGGGAAGGTCAGCATTGCTCTATGGCTGCTTCCACGTTCCTTCCAGGGTATGGGAGGGTTCCCTGCTGGAACAAGGAGGGGGCCTGGTGGTCATCTGTGTGCTGGCCTCAGTTTTGGAAGGAGTGGAAGGGCGTTGTGCTTGCTCATCGGGTGGGAGTGTTACTTATATTGCTTACTGTCATGGAGCAGAGCCCAGCTCTGTCTATGCTGCTGCCTGCTTGATCCCCACAGAGGGACTGGTGCCATGGTGGCACAATTTCATCAGCCAAAGGCCGTGAATTACGGCATGGGCCAGCAGGGACCACACAGCCAGCTGCTTGCCTTGTAATTATGGAGCCTTCTGCTTTCTGTGTAGGTCAACATCCGCAGGGAGAGCCTCGTGGAGGAGATCAGGAGGCGAACAAGTCAGCTTTAGCCCCCACCTGGACGGCTCTCCCTCGCTGGGTTCTGGTGAACAGATGTGCTCCTGTAACCCTGGGCTGCTCGGCTCCACCGCCCAGCCAGCTGACAGCAGGTGCAGGGTCAGGGAAGCCTTTGGAGGTTGTATTTATTCTTTGTCTCGTGTCCTCCCTTCTCAGCAGGAGCAGGGAGGCCGCACTCCTGTGAGATGCCTGGCCCTGGGCTGTGTCACTGCAGAGATGTTTTGTGAGCACCTCTGGCACACGCTGCCCTCCCTCCTGGCTGTAGCTGTGCCGTGACCGGAGCCCCATACTGCCAGCGGCGCCCAGGCTCTTGGCTGCAGCTCCTTGTGCCCTTCACGTTCAATGTGTCCGGCCCAGCGTTTCTGCTCTGGCTGCGGCGGGGTTGACCTCATCCCATGCCAAATGTTCTGACAACCAATAAATCTCGTCCATCCCACGCCTCGCCTTTTCTTCCTTCCTCTCTGCTCCTGCCACGAGCGCAGCGCTGTAGGATAGGTGAGCTGCGCCGCATCCCCGGCCCTCCGCTCTCTCCTCCCTCCTCGGGGCGGGGCGGTCGAGGCCCAAAGGTGGGCGGTGGCTACGGAAAGTTCGAGAGCCGGGTTGGGATCACGAGGAGCGGCGATGGCGGAGCAGGTGGGTGCTGTGCGGGACGGGGCTGCGGGGCGAGGCCGCGCTCGCGGGATCCCCGCTTGTTATGGAACGGCCGTCGGGCTTGGCGCTGCGCGGCTCGACGGCACCGCGTGGGGCCGGCAGGAACTCGGAGCGGCTGCCGGGGGGCTCGGTGCGCGCCTGTCGGGGCTCGGAGCCGCACTGCGCGGCGCTGCCGGGGTTGGGAGCCCCTCGTGGGACCGCTGCTGCCGGGACCCGCTCGGAGCTGACCCCGCAGGGTCCGCGGCTGCGTCCTTCTGGGCTTCGGGAAAGGCGGAATCCCGCGGGGACAGAAACGCAGCGGTGCGCGGGAGTAAAGTGCAAGCGGACGGGGTGTTAGCGTGAGCTGGGACCGGAGCGGTTGAGCCGTGAAGGCTGGAGGAGAGCTCTGCCGTCATGGACCCATCCCCACCGTGCGCTCTAACCACGTCCCTCCGTGCCGATCGCCATGGCTCTGGGACACCTCCGGCGCCTCAAAGGCGCTGATGAGACCGGGCGGTACTTAATGGGTACTCGGTGATGATGGTGCTGCGTGTCCTCGGTGCCTCCCTGCGGCTGCATTGTCCCGGGGGGTGGGCTGGAGGTGGGGGCTGGCTCTCCGTGTCCCACCCATATCCTGCCTGGGGCTGTGCTCACCGCGGTACGATGGCAGTGGCTCAGAGCGGCACTTTGCTCTCGCCCTGCCTTGTGATGCACCCAAATCTCTGCTCTCAAAGCCTTTGCAGACATCTCTGGAGGAGCTGTTGGTGCCCGTCTGCTCTGCCAGAGTTGCTGCTGTTAGGCGGTGGAACAGGAGAGCTCTTTGGATGCGCCCTGAGGGCAGAGCAGCCCCGCATTCCCCCACATTGCAGTGCAGTGCTCAGCCTGGGGGCGGCGCTTGGGGGTTGGGATGCCTGCAGTTGGGCAGCCGGATGCTCTGCCCAGGGCGGCACCGACCTCCTCGCTCCCTCCCTCCCTCAGCAGTGGACCAGCAGCATCAACCGGGCCAATAAGATGGCTCTGCTCACCTGGATGAGAGAAACCGGCATCGACCTGGTGCAGGTGAACGGGCAGCGGCGGTACGGCGGCCCTCCGCCAGGTGGGTGCCAGCGGCTCTGCGCGGCGCTGCCCAGGGCTGGGCGGTACTCTGACGTCTGTGTGCCCGCAGGGTGGGTGGGCAGCCCGCCGCCCCCAGGCTCCGAGGTGTACATCGCCAAGCTGCCGCGGGACCTGTATGAGGACAAGCTCATCCCGCTTTTCCAGAGCGTGGGGCAGCTCTACGAGTTCCGCCTCATGCTGACCTTCAGCGGGCTGAACCGCGGCTTCGCCTACGCCAAGTACAGCGACCAGCACAGCGCCGGGAAGGCCATCGCCGCCCTCAACAACTGGGAGGTGCAGGAGGGCCGCGCCATCCTGGTGTGCCGGAGCTTCGAGAAGTGTGAGCTGAGCGTGAACGGGCTGCCCGCCACACTGCGCCGCGGGGAGCTGGGCGCCCTGCTGCTGGAGATCACCGAGGGGCTGCTGGGCTTAACGCTGCACAACAGCCCCGACCACAAGCAGGGCAAGGTCGCCATGCTGACCTACAGCTCACACCGGGCTGCCGCCATGGCCAAGAAAGCCCTGGTGGAAGGTACTGGGAGGCAGCGGGGTCGCTGGGGTTAGAGGTGGGGTGGGACGAACTGAGCGTGCAGCTGCCGTGGGTCTCTCCTAGGGAACGTCGGCGTCTTCAAGAAGGCGAAGGTGGAGTGGCTGAAGCCTGAGCTGAAGGAAGAGCTGCAGGCGCGTGGGGAGAAGCCGCCCCCCAGCAACGTGCGGCGCCTGGGGAGCCCCAAGCGGGGGCTGCCATCCTCGGAGCTGCGTGGCGCTCTGGGCAGACTGCAGGCCTTGTGCCGGTGGCTGCACCTGGGGAGCCCCCACTTCCTCACCAGGTGCGTGCAGGCAGAGCCCGACGGCTGGCAGCGGTACTGGGGCCAGGTGGTGATCCCATCCTACCCCGTGCCCTGCAGCACCTTCCTGTGGGTGCGGGAGGATGCGGCGGGCACTGCGGGGCACGAGAAGATCAAAGAGGCGGTAGCACAGCTGGCCCTGATGATGCTGGGTGAGTCGGTCCCCACCTCCCCTCACTGCCTGGGGGCTCTCCTGGGGCTGGGGGCTGCTGGGGGCGGGCTGGGGAGAGAGGAACAGCATCCAGCGCTCTGCTCTCTCCTGCAGGGTACTGAGGATGTATGCGGGCACGTGTTGTGCCCCAGCTATGAAATGAATCCGAGACACCCGATGTCACATCGTGGAGCAGAGCTGAGCCCAGTGGGGCCGTGTTCCTGTTCAGCCTTGTTTTGAGTTCGTTGGGGGTTTGTTTAAGGGCCATGTGGAGGGCGTGGGCACTGCTGCGTTCCCACCGGCGCTGGGTCCGTTGTGAGCAGCAGGCACGTCCTGCCTGCTGCCATGTTTTCCTGTTGATGAAGTTGTTTTGTGTTGCTGTGGTGCTGCAGGGCTCTCAGGAGGAGCAGCAGCTGCCTGGAAGGATGCGAGCGGGGGGGGCTGGCAGGGGGAGGCTGGCACTGGGCCCCATTGCCTGCAGCCCCGTTGCCATGAGGCAGTTGGGGGACCCTGGGCTGTCTGCAGGCACTGCCTGCAGCCTGGAGGCCAGCGGCCACCTGCTGGTGATTAAAGGAGCCTGGGAAGCTGTGACGGTGTTCTGTTGTGTTCTGTTGCTGTGGTTTCCCCGGGTGGATCCCATCCTGCAGCCAGGCGCACATTGGGCAGCTCCTGCTGACATCACCCCAACGTCACCCCTGCATGCAGTTCCTGAGGCACAGCAGCTGCCACCCGTCCTGGGCCGGCTTTAGCCCAGCGGTTCCTTTGGTTCAGACATTCTGTGCTTTCCGAGCTCCGACTGGGGTTCGATCCCGCGGGCACCCCTGGCCCATTTTGTGTGTTCCCATCGTTACTTTTTAACCACTTCAGGGATCAGTGCTCTCCAGTGTCTTCATCAGTGGCACCGAGTGGGTCGAGTGCTCCCTGAGCCGTCTGCAAGTGACACCAAGCTGTGAAGGGACACACCGAGGAACGGGATGCCATTCAGAAAGACCCAGACTGAGCAGTGGGCCCAGGAGAATGTCGTGAGGTTCAACAAAGCCAAGCACACAGTCTGGCACCTGGACCGTGGCCACCGCCGCTGTCGGTGCAAGCTGGGGGGTGACGGGATGGAGCACAGCCCTGCCAAAAAGGACTTGGGGTGCTGCTGGGTGGCAGCTGGACGTGAGCCAGCGCTGTGCCCTCGTAGCCCAGAGAGCAAACCGTACCCTGGGTGCACCCAAAGCAGCACGGCCAGCAGGGTGGTGAAGGGGATCTGCTCCTCTGCTCTGTGCTATGAGACCTCACCTGGAGTGCTGCATCCGGACAGGGCGTGCTCAGCACAGGAGAGACGTGGAGCAGTTGGGGTGTGTGCAGAGGAGGGCCCAAAAATGCTCCCAGGGATGGCACAAATCCCTCGTGCAGGCAAAGGTGAGCTAGAGGACAGCATTCACACCTCAGCTGCACTCACACTTAGCACACGGTCATGCTCTTGAGCTCCAGCCCTGCATACGTTCCTCATCAGCATCTTCCCCTCACCAATGTGGCTGCCATTTCTGGGCATATCTTGGCAAGTGCTGCATGTGGCCTCACTACACATCCAGACACCAGGCATAAAATTCCACCCATCTGAGGGCTCTGCTGGCCAGAGCCCAGAACTCAGGATAACCCGAGGGGAGCAGCCTGCAAGCTGTGCCAGGGGTTGAACCAGAACACACTCCCCTTCCCCAGCCAACGCACAGGATTCAGAGCAGAGATGTAACTCAGCCCAGTGCTGGGATGCACACCATGCACTGGGAAATCAGGTCCTTGCCCTGCCCCGCATGAGCTGCCAATACCTCTGTGCCTCCAGCACCTGGGGGCCAACAGCCACCCTACTGCAGGGGACACAGCAGAGCAGCCTGGGAGGCCAAGGTCAGCCCAGGTGTGCTGCTCTGTCATGGAGCACAGGGGGAAAAAAGCAGGTTTCCTGCCAAAGACAGCTACAGTTTGGGATGCTGGGCCATCCATCGGCAGGACTCTCATCACCCCAGTGCCCAGCAGACACATCCCCAGTGTTCTGGAAAGTCTCAGGGAAGTTTGGGCAAGCCAAGCCATCAGCACAAGCTGCTAGGAACCAAAAGGCACTACGTTTTTAATACCCCTGATGCCTAAGCTTAACAGTTGACCGATGCTTGATGTATCTGTTCAGGATGCAGTGCAGGCTCTGCTGCAGCCTGGAGGAAACACGACACAGTCCTCACCGACCCTGTGGAACCTCACAGCAGACGGAAGCTGACCCGTTTTCTCTCAGTGACCCCACCATCTCCACCAGCACCCTGCTCTGTTCCCAGCCTCAGGACGTCCACAGCCACCAGCAGACCGCCGCTCCTCAGTCACTGTCGTCACTGTCGCTCCCTGTTGCCGCCTCCGCTGTGGTTTCCTGCTCCTCTCTTAGGTCTGCAAAGAAGTCCTCCCCGCTGCCTGCAGCCTTACTGCTCAGGGCTTTCAGTGGCCCCCCCTCGCTTCTTCTTCTTGCGGTACTCATCCACCACCATGGAGCCCAGCGAGGAGATGTCCCAGAACTTCACCTTCTGGTCGTGGGCACAGCTGGCCAGGAGCTGCCCGCCTGGGGCCACAGCCAGCTGCTCAATGGGCTCCCCCAGGTGCTGCCCGACGCACCCCAGCACCCGGTTGGGCAAAATGTTCACCGCCCTGGGGAAAAGTGAACGGATGGAGCACAGTGAGGGGCAGAGCCTTGGGGAGTGCAAGCCCACCCCTCCAGCTCAATGCATTCCTTCCAGAATGAGCAGAAGCTTTCTTTGCCCTGCCCTCCAAGGCTCATCTCACTCTGCACCCTCCCCAGAGCCCTTCCCATTGCATCATTTTCACACACAGGGTGGTGAGACACTGGAACAGGTTGCCCAAGGAGGCTGTGGATGCCCCATCACTGCAGGCATTCAAGGCCAGGCTGGAGGTGGCTCTGGGCAGCCTGGGCTGCTGGTTGGCGACCTGCACATAGCAGGGGGATTGGAACCAGATGCTCACTGTGGTCCTTTTCAACCCAGGCCATTCTATGATGTTATTCTATGATCCCACATCCACAGCGCTGACCTGATGACCCCATCAAGGGATCCTGTGCACACGATGCTCTCTGTGACAGGGACCATGCAGTCCACTGACTCGGCCCTCAGAGAGAAGCGGTCACTGGTGGCCCCGAAACCATTCCAGTTGAAGAGGTAGATGGTTCCTTCGCTGGAGCCACAAGCCACTTTCTTCCCTCGCTAAGCAAGAAGGGGGACACCAAAGCACAGGGAGAACACACGAGCCAGAGCATGGCAAGGAAACAACAGGGCTGTGCGCGTGCTGGGCTGCAGGGCCCTCAGCCTACCTTCAGCAGCACAACCGATGTCAGATCCCCGCTCTGCGGCTCCGAGAGCAGCTCGAAGCGGCGCCTTTTGATGTTGAAGACTCCCATGGTGCCGTCGCCACTGCGGGAAATGGAGCGGCCCCGTGGGGCGGGGGCAGGGGGCAGCACTAAGCCCGCCACGGGCAGCGCCAGCCCCGCAGTACCTGGCGGTCAGCAGGATCTTCCCGGCCCCATCCACGGCCATGGCGCTGATGTACTCCTCGTGCTGCCGGGCCTCCAGCACGGCGCCGCCCTTGCGCAGGTCCCACACTTTGAGCTCCCCGTTGTCGTCCCCCGTGGCCAGCAGGTGCTGATCGACGGGCAGCACGCAGTTGAGGGCCGCGCTGCGGGACCACGTGGGTCAGCCGAGAGCTGAGCCGCAGTCGGGGTTCCCGCAGCCCGGCCCGGCACGTACCCGTGGGCTTTGGCGATGCGCGTCTCCAGGCGGCCGTCCTCCACCGCGAGCACGTGGACGGCTTTGTCTTTGGCCACGGTGAGCAGCTCTGGGGACGGAGAGCCGTCAGCGCGGCCCCGACCCGACCGCGGCCCCGCCGCCGGCCCCGCACTCACTGTGCCCGTCCTGGGAGAAGGCGACATCGCGGCACGACTTCAGGTGGTGTCCCGAAGACCAGAGCTGGCGGTTGTTCCCTTGCACGCAGCAGTACGAGTACCTGCGGGCGGCCGTGAAGCGGGGCCGTGCGGGGCGCCCACGGGTACCCATAGGTACTTACAGGTCCCCATAGGTCCCCACAGGTACTCACAGATACACGTCGCCGTCCACGTCCCCCGCCGCCAGCAGCTCCCGCTCCGGGTGCAGCGCGATGGCGTTGGCCGCTGCCTCCAAGCAGATGTCGTCGGGGGTGTCCCGGAGCTGCGGCTCCGCGGGCGGCTCCTGCGGGCGAGGTGAAGCGCGGTGAGGTGAAGCGCGGCTCCGCAGCTTCCGCCCCGCACCCCACGCCGCCGCGCACCTCCTCAGACTCCGCCATGCCGCCGCGGACAGCCTGCTGCGCATGCCCGGGCTCTGCCGGCGCTAGAGCGCCCCCTGGCGGCCGGGCTGACTGATGCAGAGGCCGCCGGCTCGAAACCCGGGTCCGACTCGTTTGCCCCCCCTCCCACCCCCCGGCCTAGGCCTCAAGGCTGAGCCGAGCCAAGCACCGCTCTGCTACAAATGTACACGCACGCAGAAGCCTTGAATGTAATTTTATTACGTCTACGAGGGTTGCAAATCACAAGCTGTACAACAAACTCAAGGAGAGAGCCCCAGCACAGCCCCACAGCACGAGGCTGGGGCTCTGCGTGCTGCCCGGAGCAGGAGAGGGTGAAGGAGGGGCAGCCCACACCGAGGCACGCCTGCACTCTGGGAACACTGCATCCAGCAGGACGAGGCTCCAGGAGCAGAAGGATCAGATGTAGGCAGGCAGCTACAGCCTCAGTACTTGGGCCTTTTCACTTCCACCCTGGAAAGAGAGATGGGCACAAGGCTGGTGAGGTTGCAGGAAAGGAGAGCAATCCCCCTCCATTCTAGGGCGCAGTAGCAAAGCACCATCCTAAGGGCACGCAGCAGGTGACTGTGATGAAGAGCTCAAAAAGTCATCACCTCCCACATCTGCTCTGCCCCCAGCCAAGGCACAGGAGAGAGGTACCCTGCATAGCACATGAGGGGCTGAATGTTCTCCCCATCCTTCCAGTCCCATTGCCTAAAGGCAGCAGAGATGTCTTTGCCCCCTGCAGCCCCAAGAGGACTTGTAGGAGACGGCCCCACTCCCCGCTGCTGAACCAAAAGCAGGGATCACTTTACTAACCCATCAGCCTCCAGTTTCTTCCTCTTCTCAATGATCTGTGAAAAAAAACACAAATGCCTGTTATACTTCGTGCACAGCCAGCTACCCAACTGCCCCTTTCCTCCATAAGGACAAAGCAAGCAGCAGAAGCACTGTAGGGTGCAAGACACAGTGAGGGCTACAGCTGGAGCAAAGTTGTCAACAAGCTGTCCATAAACTTGGCTTGTTCTCCCTTTGCTCCATTTTGTCCATCAAGGACAAGTCCCATTTTTGTTTA